GCCTGGACAGGGGCTGTGTCTCAGCCCCCAGCCCCTCTCTTCTCAGGCACTTGCTGAACCTTGGTCTTTTCCTCAGGTTTACGAAACACTTTCTGCCTCTTTGTGCTTCAGAGTTGTGTCTGTCTGTTTTTGTTTTTTAATAAAGATTATGATTTGGCCCAGCGTTAAGGGTGCAGACAGAGCTCTGCCTGTGTCCATAGCAAGAAAAGAACATTTTTGCAGGCTTCCCGTCTCGGCATAATGGCATCGCGGGAGGTTTTGTGCATGTGCAGAATTGTAATGCACACCCTGACCGTCTGGGTCAAGGCCAAAGTCTTGCTATTTTAAATTAAATAAACTATATTTCTTTTGTGTATTTGGTAAACCGACTGCCGTTGATGTGGGTGCGGGTCGGCAGTGCGGCTCAGACGGGCCTGTGCTGTGGGGCAGGTCCAGAGCTTTCCACACGGTTGGGCCCTGGAGACCACGTCTGTGTCCTTCTCTCTGGGCAAATGCTGTCGGGTAGGTGGCCACCTGGTTGGTATAGCCAGCTTCTCCTGAGTTTGCCTGATAGAATCCCTCGTCTGGGTTGGGGAGCAGGGGTGGTGGTGTTTAGAATACAGATTCCAAGGCCCCGTCCCATATGAGGATCAACAGAGCCAAGTTCCAAGGACCCGCAGCTTAGGGCTAAACTCTCACGAGTGAGACACTCCAGATACTGGGCCACCAACCATGTCTCCCTTCTTGCGTGATTCTATCCCGACACCCGGTGACCCTCTGCAGTGGCAACTAAGGCTCCCCGGTGGCCGGGAACTGCTGGCGCACAAGGGCTCTTCTCTGAAGGAAGCAGCCTTCCAAAACCAGCCATCGAAGCCAGCTGCCTCGTTCGGTGCAGACCTTCGCAGCCCTGCAGCCCTGCCATCAAGTCTTTTTTTTTTTTTTAACTGCTACATCTTGGGAACTTTGCTCCCAGAAGCGTTCCTTTTTTATTTGTTCTACTTTCTGGATTTTGTAAAGCTAAAAATACATCAACTGTCAAGAGGATGAGAGGACAAGCCACAGACTGGAAGAAAATATTTGCAAAAGACACATCTGTGTATCTATACAAGATGATGGATGCTAACCTATTGTCATCATTTCACAATGTATGTGAATTGCCTTCACACTGTACACCTTGAACTTATACAGTGAGGTGTGTCAATTATTTTTCAGTGAAACTGGGGATTGGGGGGAATACACATCTGATAAAGGACTGTTACCAAAATATACAGCGGACCCTTTTTTTTTCAAATTTTTATTTTTATTTATTTATTTTTGGCTGCGTTGGGTCTTCGTTGCTGCACGTGGGCTTTCTCTAGTTGTGGCGAGTGGGGCCCACTCTTCGTTGCAGGGCACAGGCTTCTCATTCTAGTGGCCTCTCTTGTTGCAGAGCACGGGCTCTAGGCATGCAGGCTTCAGTAGTTGTGGCTCGTGGGCTCCAGAGCGCAGGCTTAGTAGTTGTGGCGCACGGGCTTAGCTGCTCTGCGGCATGTGGGATCTTCCCGGACCAGGGCTCGAGCCCCTGTCGCCTGCATTGGCAGGCGGATTCTTTTTCGTTTTGTTTTGTTTTTTTTTTTTTTTTTTTTTTTTTTTTGCGGTACGTGGGCCTCTCACTGTTGTGGCCTCTCCCGTTGCGGAGCACAGGCTCCGGACGCGCAGGCTCAGCGGCCGTGGCTCACGGGCCCAGCCGCTCCATGGCATGTGGGATCTTCCCGGACAGGGGCACGAACCCATGTCCCCTGCATTGTCAGGCAGACTCTCAACCACTGCGCCACCAGGGAAGCCCTACAGTGGACATTTAACACTCAGCAATAAGAAAACAAACAACCCGATTAAGAAATGGACCAAAGACCTTAACAGCCGCCTCACCAAATAAGATACAGAGATAGCAAATAAGCACGTGAAAAGATGCTCCACATCATGTGCCACCAGTTAACACAAGTTAAAACAGCGAGATACCACTACCCACCTCTTAGAGTGGCCACGATCCAGGACATCGACAGCACCAAATGCTGGCGAGGATGTGGAGGAACAGGAACTCTCATTCACTGCTGGTGGGAATGCAAAATGGTGCAGCCACTTTGGAAGAGAGTTGGGCAGTTTCTTACAAAACTAAACATACTCTTCCCAGCAATCACGCCCCTTGGTATTTACCGAAATGAGTGGAAAACTTATGTCCACACAAAAACCTACACACAGATGTTCATAGCAGCTTTATCCATAAGTGCCCAAAACTTGGAAGTAGTTAAGATGTCCTTCAGCAGAGGAATGGATAAATAAACTGTGCTGCCTCCAGACAATGGAATATTATTCAGCACTAAAGAGAAAGGAGCCCTCAAGCCATGGAAAGACATGGAGGAAACTTACATGCATTACTGAGCGACAGAATTCGATCTGAAAAGGCTGCATGCTGTACGATTCCAACTATAGGACATTCTGGAAAAGGCAGAACTATGGAGACAGTAAAAAGATCAGTGGTTGCCAGAGGTTGGGGTGAGGGAGGTGGAGCACAGGGGATTTTTAGGGCAGTGAAACCACTCTGTATGACCCTATGATGATGGATACCTGTCAATACACACTTGTCCAAACACACCATGTCCAACACCAAGAGTGAGCCCTAATGTGAACTCTGGACTCTGGGTGATAATGACGTGTCAGTGCAGGTTCATCCCAGGTGACAAGGGTACCACCTGGGTGGGAGGTGGTGATGCTGGGGAGGGCTGTGCAGGTGTAGGAGCTGGGGGCACGTGGGAAATCTGTATCTTCCCTTCAATTTTGCTATAAACCTAAAACTGCTCTACGAAAATAAAGTCTTAATATAATTAATTTAAAAATACATTGACCAGCCCCTAGAAATGCCTTGCATCTTTTTTATATTAATTTTGTTATTAAGATGCAACTGGCGGGGAGGGATAGATTGGGAGTCTGGGATTGACATGCACACACTGCTGTATTTAAAATAGATAACCAACAAGCATCTACTATAGAGCAGGGAACTCTGCTCAATACTATCTAATAACCTGAATGGGAAAGAATTTGAAAAAGAATAGATACATGTATATGTATAACTGAATCACTTTGTTGTACACCTGAAACTAACACAACATTGTTAATTACGCTCCAGTATAAAATAAAAATTAAAAAGAAATTTAGAAAAATAAAAACAATAAAATTATTACACTCAAAAAGATACAGCATACACAAACTTAAACAATACAAAATTAGCAGTGTCCTGTCCTGTTTCTTCCGGGCAACCACCTGGGAGGGTGTTTTAGCTACTCTCTCTTGTCTTGGTCTCCACACCTTGAACCAGATGCTACGTGCTTACCTGTGAGAAAATGGAAGAAGCCTTTCCCGGCCGGCGCTGAGAGACCTTCCTGAGACCCTCCACTCATTAGGTGCTGTGTACCTCTCCCCATCCACCCCATCTCCCCTCGGTGACCCTTCATCACCTCTTCCCCGACCTTCCCACCAGCCCCCTCATCCTGCTTAGGGAGGCTCTGAGCACCACCCAAGGCACAGTCTGGCCAGGCGACCCGGCCTGAGGGACTCCAGGGGATGCAGTGAACAGTCCAAGCCCTCAGGCCTCCTCTCTGGAGTCCCCCTCTCTGGAGTCACCTCCGCCTTCCTCACCCCAGCAAACAGCACACCTTTCCATGCTGGTGATGCTTGTGGTTTCTCCCAACCCCAGCAAGCAATCGTCTGACACCAGCTGTAGGACCAGCTGGGTGTCCTGCAGTTCAGTTCTGACACTGTCTACCTGGAGACAGCATCATACCCACAGGTGAAGGTCTCAGTCCCAAAGACAGTCTCCCCACTTCAGATACCAACTGAAAGTCCAGGTTGTCACCTGTGCTTCTGCCCAACCACCCGTAGGCTGGAGATTCCCACTGGAGACCCCCTCTTTGGGTTCGATTAATTTGCTAGATTAACTCACGAAAGTCAGAGAAACATTTTACTTATTAGATCACTGGTTATTACCATGGACATAATTCAAGAACAGCCCGATGGCAGAGGTGCACAGGACAAGGTATGGGGAAGGGACACAGAACTTCCATGTCCTCCAAGTCCTACTCTCCCCAAACCTCTGTGTTTTCCTGTCCTTTTGGGTTTTTATGGAGGCTTCATTATATGATTGATTAAATCACTGGCTACTGGTGGTTTATTCAACCTCCAGCCCCTCTCTCCTCCCAGGAGACTGGCGGCGTAGGACTGAAATTTCCAACTCCCTAATCACAGGGTTGGTTCCCCTGGCAACCAGCCCCATCCTTTGCTTACCTAGGGGCTTTTCCAAAAGTCACCTCACTGACATAACAAAGACACTCTCAATGCTGAGGAGATTCCAAGATTTTAGGATCTATGTGCCAGGATGGGATGAAGACCAAATATGTATTTCTGATGATAAATCACAATATCACGGTGCTGCTCCCTCCTGCCCCATGCTGTCCCCTCTCCCTGGAAAGCCCTTCTCTTCCCTTCTTGCTTGGCTCCCTGCTTCTGCCCTTAGCCAGCAGACACCCTGAAGACCACCTCCCTCTGCTCCACGGCCTTCTAAGCAGACCTCTGAGATGCCACGGTGTCCATAAAGACCAGAAGTTCCAGGGACCACTCTACCTGGCCGGTTCCCCCAGAGCCTGCCCGGTTCTGGGCACAGAGTGAGACGCTAGGGCCAGCCCAGCATGCACGTGGGGCTTAAGCCTTTCACATCCAAAAAGTTAGAAGTTTGGGAGGAAGAGGTAAATGACTTCTTTTTTTAAAAAATATATTTATTTATTTATTTGTTTGTTTTTGGCTGCGTTGGGTCTTGTTGCTGCGCCCAGGCTTTTCTCCAGTTGTGGCGAGCGGGGGCTACTCTTCGTTGCTGTGCGCGGGCTTCTTACTGCGGTGGCTTCTCTTGTTGTGGAGCACAGGCTCTAGGCATTCAAGCTCAGTAGTTGTGGTGCACGGGCTCAGTTGCTCCACGGCATGTGGGATCTTCCCAGACCAGGGCTTGAACCCATCTCCCCTGCATCGGCAGGAGGATTCTTAACCTCTGCGCCACCAGGGAAGTCCCTAAATGACTTTCTGAATGAAGCATGTGGGTTCCCCCACCAAAATAAACCCCAAAACTCAGAATCACGTATTGGAGCAGAATCCAGGCTCCATGAAGGAAAGGTTTGCCTGGTGTTATGGGGTCAGGACATTGATAGTAGCTGACAGCTACTGTTTACTGAGCTCTTATTACATCTGGGGCCAAGTGAGGTCACCCTTCTCAGCAGAGGCCCTAGTGACCACACAGGTTGCAGGCCTCCCATAGAGTCGGCCCAGCCTGTTGATAAGGCAAAGCTGTGCATTGCTTGCAGGATAAGGAAAAACACTCCCAACAGGGCCTTAATAGGGCCTCAGAGTGGGAGGGACATTTAGTGGGATATTTAGTGAATTTTTTTTTTTTTTTTTTTTTTTTTTTTGCCGCACAGCACAGCTTGCAGGATCTTAGTTCCCCAGCCAGGGATCAAACCCGTGCCCCCTGCGATGGAAGCATGGACCCCTAACCCCTGGACCACCAGGGAATTCCCTTTAGCAGCATTTTTGAAGTGTGGTTTAAGGTGGGCCTTTTAATGTGCTGGGGACTGGGCGAGGGTCACGATATCCCAGTTTTGCATCAGTGGGCATAGTGGGGTAAGCATCTGGAGGTGAAGAATTTCAAGAGTTTTTGGGTGGAAACTGTCACGATGCTTTCTGTTAAAGAATGCATGGTTTCTTAAAAGTTCTTGGAGGGAAGTAGAAGTTACTTGTGGAAACAAAAAAATGTTGCCCACAATTCCAGTTCTACAAGGATGAAGTAATTAGCCCCTGACCTATAGCAAACCCTGAAAGGAATTCAGGATGAAGTACTCTGTATTTGGGGCACATGGGGCCCAAGATAGTTAAGATACATGTCTGAGAAAGAATTTTGATGACCCCAGATTCTATGCACCTTCCCATGCATAGCAAAGCACTAAAATCATTAACTGGAGATATCTGTTTTCTGTGATTAGCATTAATCTTTTAACAAGATGTAGGCTTGGCTACATGTATTCCCCAGTCAAAAAATTTCATATATCTGCTCCTCCAATACCTTTTTCGGAGCAGTTTCTCAGAGCTCTCTGAGAGGCTGTATCCTGGGCCATAGTCATCAGTAAGATACTGAATAAAACTCAACTCACAGCCCTTACGTTGAGCTTTTATTTTTTTCCAGATGACACTTGCAACTTATAGCTTTCTGGGCCAGTCTCCTGGGAGTAGTAAAGTGATGCTGATGAGGGCAGCCACGTCTTTACCCAGCCATGTCTTGGCAGACAAACCATGGTCCAAGAAAGGGGGTCAGGAGAGACAGGTGTGTGAACAACAAGGCTCTGGAAGGAGAGAAACCGGGTCAACCAGGCTCTGCCGTTCCTAATGGTGTCACTATGGGCAAAGAACTGTGACCTCTCCTAGTCTCGATTTCATCTAAGAAGGAGATAATAATGAAACTAACATGAGACCCAGTGCTTAGTACAAGGACTGAGCCAGAGGAAAGCTCTACAAGACGCAGCTGTCATTATTCTCCGTTAGCTTTTCTTGTGTTACCTAAGAGCCCCTGAAAGGTCTACTACTTCCTGCCCCTTCCCCACAGCTGAATCCTCCCCTCTGTTTCCAGTGCCCCAGGCCCAGTTCCAGACGGAACAATCTCACACCTGCTCTTGTTGAGCAGTACCTATTTAACAAGCATCTGGGGAATTTCCCATGACCATTATGTCAGAGATGGGAGCAGACTCTCCCTTTCGCTAACATTTTCTGTAGCTTCTCTTCTCCCTGGCACCCAGCAAATCACTGGATTTGCCTGGACCTGTCGCATCTGGGAGAGCTTCTCTCAAATACCAGCAGACAGCGTTTGTCTCTTCCCTGTCTCGGCACCACCACTCCAGGAGGAAAAGCAGACGGGGAGCGTTGGGCATCGGAGGGCAGGTGCTGTCTGAAGTTACCCAACCAGCGCCATGATGAGTGACATGAGTGACGAGGAGAGCATTGGGGACGCTGTGTCAGCCCTGGGGGTGAGTCCGCCCTGGCTGGGCACAGATCCAGGAGACCTCGGGGCTGGGTGTCCACGGAGAGTCGCCGATGCCACGTTCAGGAAAAGCGTGGAGCAGTGGTTCTGACTTTCTTGAGAGCCGGGACCACCCGGGGTTCTGGTTAAAATGCAGGTTCTGATTGAGTGGGTCTGGGGTGGAGTCTGTGAGTCTGTATTTTTCACAAGCTCCCAGGTAAGGCGGCTGCTGCAGACCCAGGAGACCTAGAGGAACTCTGGTTCCGGGGGCTTCAAAAGCGTGGGCGGATGCTTGCAGGGCTTGGCTTCAAGGAGAACTTGGGTGGCCCGGCAGTACCCACTGGGCTTCTAGATTCCGTAATATGCTCCTTAAGGCCTCAGGCTGGACACGTAAAATGTATTCTCTGGCCCTGGGGCGTCACGTAGCACTAGATTCTGTGGGACGCTGTAACCGTTCAACAACGGACCAGCGGGAGGCGGGGGTGGCGTTGATTTACAGCCTGTGCTGATATCTGCGATGCTCCCACCGAGGTTCTTTTCAACGGACTGTAGGGAAGAGTGTGAGCTTCAGGGGAAAGTCGCGCATGGTTTACAGCATCCTTCCCGCTGGTACAGCACTCTGCCCTTGTACTACCTTTGAGCTTACAATTCTGCAAGTTGTAGGTAACTGATGCTGGAACTCACACAACTCAACATCAAAAAGCCCCAAACAACCCAATTTTAAAGTGGGCAGAGGATCCGAATAGACATTTTTCCAAAGACATACAGATGGCCAACAGGCACATGAAAAGATACTCAGTATTACTAATCATCAGGGAAATGCGATGAGATATCACCTCACATCTTTCAGGGCGGCTGTTATCAAAAAGACAAAAAGTAAGTGTTGATGAGGATGTGGGGAAAAGGGGACCCTCGCACTGCTGGTGGAAATGTAAACTGGCCCAGCTGTAAACTGGCCCAGCCACTATGGAAAACAGTATGGAGGTTCCTTAAAAAATTAAAAATAGCACTACCATATGACCCAGCAATTCCACTCCTGGGTATTTATCCAAAGAAAATGAAAACACTAATTTGAAAAGATATATGAACCCCTATGTTCACTGCAGCATTATTTACAATAGCCAAGATATGGAAGCAACCTGTGTCCATTGAAATATGAATAAAGAAGAGGTGGTGGGAATTCCCCGGCGGTCCAGTGGTTAAGATTCTGCACTTTCACTGCCAAGGGCAGGAGTTCAATTCCTGGTCAGAGAACTATGATTCTGCAAGCTGGGAGACACAGCCAAGAAGAAGAGGTGGTACACACACACACACACACACACACACACACACACACACACACACAGTGGAATACTACTCAGCCATAAAAAAGAATGAAATCTTGCCAGTGGAACTAGAGGGTATTATGCTAAGTGAAACAGGTCAGAGAGAGAAAAACAAATACTCTAGGATTTCACTTCTATGTGGAATCTAAAAGACAAAACAAATGAACAAACATAACAAAAGAGATTCACAGTCATACTTACAGAGAACAAACAGGCAGGTGCCAGAGGGGAGGGAGGTGGGAGGAGGAGAGAAATAGATGAGGGAGAGTAAGAGTACAAACTTCTAGTTACAAAATAAATGAGTCACAGGCATGAAATGTACAGTGTGGGGAATATAGTCAATAACTATGTAGTATCTTTGTACGGTGACCTATTTCATGTAACTAGACTTATCGTGGTGATCACTTTGAAAAGGATAGAAATATAGAATAACTGTGTTGTGCACCAGGAACTAACATAGCGCTGTAGGTCAATTGTACTCCAAAAACAACAAACAAACTCACAGAAAAAGAGGTCAGATTCGTGGCTGCCAGAGGCAGGGGGAAGGGAATTGGAGGAAGGTGGTCCAAAGGTACAAACTTCCAGTTATAAGATAAATGTTAGGGATGTAAAGTACCACATGATAAATATAATTAATATCGCTGTATGTTATATATCAGAGGTCCCCAACCTTTGTGGCACGAGGGACCGGTTTGGTGGAAGACAATTTTTCCACGGACGGGGCGGGGGGGCAGGTGGGGATGGTTCAGGTGGTAATGCCAGCGACAGGGAGCAGCAGGTGAAGGTTCACACTCTCCTGCTGTGCGGCCCGGTTCCTAACAGGCCTGGACTGGTACCGGTACTGGGGGTTGGGGAACCCTGTTATAGATGAAAGTTAAGAGAGTAAATCCTAAGCATTCTTATCACAAGGAAAATATTTTTTTTCTTTTTCTTATATTTTGTATCTATAGGAGATGACGGATGCTCACTAAATCATTTCGTGATGCACGAGAGTCAAACCATTATGCTGTACACCTTACATTCAAACCGTGCTGTCAGTTACATCTCAATAAAACTGGAAGGAAAAATGTCATAATTTTTACCTTTTTTCTTGAAAATTATCCTCTAACACTATTAATGTAAGGTCACTAACCCCAGAGTCAGAAAGACACGGGCAAAGTAGCATGCTATTCTAGAGTATTCCAGCATTTGTTCCCTCGCTTTTACTAAGGAGAAATTCACATAAAATTAACCTTTTTAAAGTGTACAGTTCGGTGGCATTTAGTACCTTCACAGTGTTATATAACCACCACTCTATCTAGTTCCAAAATATCTGCATCACCTGCAAAGGAAATCCCACACCCATTAAGTAGTCACTCCCCATTCCCCTCTCTCCGCAGCCCCTGGCAACCACCAATTTGCTTTCTGTCTCTTTGGATTTACCTTTTCTGGATTTCTCATATAAATAGAATCATACAATATGTGACCTTTTTGTGCCTGGCTTCTTTCACCTAGCATAATATTTTCGAGGTTCACGTAGCTTGTGTCAGGACTTCATTTCTTTTTACAGCTGCATAATCTGTTGTGTGTATATATCACAATTTGTTTATCCAGTCATCCGTTGGTGGGCGTGTGGGCTGTTTCCCCTTTCTGGCTATTGTGAGTAGCGTTGTTGTGAATATGCATATACATATATTTGCTTGAGTGCCAGTTTCTGTTTTTACTCTTTTGGAATTAAAATATATCTAGGAGTAGAATTGCTGAGTCACATGGTAATTCTGTTTAACTTCTTAAGGAATCACCAAACTGCTTTCCACAGCAGTTGCACCATTTTACGTTCCCACTGGCAACATACAATGGTTCCAGCTTCTCCACATCCTTGCTCATGACATGGATGAACCTTGATGACATTATGCTAAGTGAAATAAGACAGTCAAAAGGACAAATACTCCACGATCCCACTTATATGAAACAACTAAAATAGTCAGGTTCATAGAAACGAAAAGTAAAACAGAGGTTGCCAGAGCTGGGGGGAATTATTGTTTCATGGATATAGAGCCTTAGTTTAGCACGATGAGAAAGTTCTGGAGACTGGTTGTACAACAGTGAGTATGCTTAGCACTACTGAAATGTACACCTAAAAAAGCAAATTTTTGTTATAAGTTTTTTACCACAGTTTGAAAAAAAAAGAGTTGTCTACCCAAGGTAATGTGTAACCAACGAAGCCACTTGGGTCCCTGAGAAGCTTCCTGAGCCCCTGGCTTTCATGCATTCTGTCCATGATTCCCAAAGGTCACTCTTTAGTGCATGGGCACTCTGATAGGTGAGGTCAAATTCTATTCTTGGAAAGAAAACTTAGGAACCTTGTATCATCTCTGAAGTTTACTCACCGGGTGTGTCAGCATGAGCCACAGCCTTTCTGCCTTGGGGGCATCTGATAAAATCTTGGCCTGTGGAGCAAGAAGGTTTGGACCAGGCTTGTTTTCTCCCTCTTCCTTCCACCCACGTTGCAGAGTTGGGTTCCGATGGCCAGAATCCAGGCGGGCCTGGGTGAGGTGTAGCTGGCCCCACTGGGCACTGGGCTTGGGAAGTCTTGTGTCATCCATCCTACCAGGCCCCCTGCAGCAGGAGCGCTGCCTGTGTAGATAGCTGGATGCATGCCGGCACCTGCTAATTACTTCTTCCTTATCTACACCTGGAATGGGGATGACCCAGAGCTGTTTCCTGCCTTCCCACCCCTCCCTCCAATCAAGCAATCCACACACACTCTGCACCTTGGTAGCAGCCTCGTTTTGTGCCCTCCGAGGCACGTGCAGGCGCTTCTGCTATAATGCGATGCACATGTTCCCAAAGAACTCCACTTTCCATCATATGCCACAGAAGTAAATAACAGGATTTAAGGGGAAAATAGGGTTGGGGCAGACCCCCAGGCAATTTTAAAATCTGAACACAAACAAAAACAAATACAGTCCTAATGAAAACAGCAGCCTGGGTAAATCTCCACTGACATTTGCACCCAGCAGCTAGGGGGTTCTCACTTTCTTCTTTAAAATGAGTGTTCTTAGGCCATTCGCTTCCAGTTGAGAGCCATGTCATCACATTTTAAAACCCGATTTAGGCTGTAGTCAAAACAAACAAATACATACATACATATATATATATATAGAGAGAGAGAGAGAGAGAGAGAGAGAGAGAGAGAGGGAGAGAGATGTCTTCACAGCTTCTTCAAGGGTAAGAGTCCTTTCCCATTTTCTGTCCTAACAGACTTTCAGGCAAATGTTTGATGGTTATATCAGTAAGAAATGGGTTTGGCCGCAAGTGACAGAAAATGAAAAAGAGGGGTGTTTTTCTTTCATGGAAAGTCCAAGCAGTGGTCTGGGTAGGAGCAGCACTTCGAAGGGGAAGGGACCCAAGCTCCTTCCATCTCCTTGCTCTGTCCTGTGTGTCCTCACCCTTGTGGCCCAAGCTGGTGGCACCCGTATTCCAGGCAGCAGGATGGCAAAAGGAACAAAGAAGAGAGAAAGGTTCTTACAAGCCAGTACGCGACACCTTCACATACGTCGCTTTAGATAGAACTTGTCGTATGTCCCTGCCAACCGCAAGGGTGATGGGAAACCTAGTCTTTCCTTTGGGCAGCCTCAGGTCCTGCCCCAAATTCTATTACTAGAAGGACTGGGCAAATGGATTTGAGGATGGGTTGGGG